CATCCAGGCACCTTGAGGACCAGGAGCCCACTGCCTGATGACCAAAGGCCGGACCACAGGAGCCTCTGGGGGTGGGGTGGGAGTGTGGTTCCCGGGATAAAATGGGGGTTCAGGGTTGGGGGGAGGCTGAGGGAAACAGGGAGAAGCGAGGGGCCAGGGGGAGACGGAAGCCAGTGGTCCCACCGCCCCCAACCCCCCGAGTGTGGGGAGCACCCCTCTGGCGGGTCACATAAACCGGCTCGATGGGGGACTGTGTCTCCAGACACCAGACACCGACCTCGGGAAGTGCGTGTTTCCCAGATGTCCCACCCACAGAGCAGTGAACGAGTCTCGGAATCTTTCCAAAATTTCCCGGGTTACGGAGACAGGAGTCCTCATGTCTGCAACACACATTGAATGGGGACCAGACACAGGAGCTTGTCTCACACGTGGAACCCTGAGGGGCTACAGGCAGCAGCAGGCCCCGGTGTGACCGTGGTGTGGCCTTGGCGTGTCCCTTGGTGTGCACCTAGCGTGGCCCTCGTGTGGCTGTGGTGGACCTGCTGCGCACAGACGGGGACACGGTGGAGTCGACATCTATCACTTGTGGAAATGTCAGCGCTCCTTCCCTTCCCTAAATCTCTCCTAAAGAGGTTTTGAAAACCAACTTAGCAAAAGAAAAACCCAAGGGACTAAATACCTAAAGCTACAGGGGACGGCACGAAGTCACGTTTCGGGCCCTGAGGGTCACCGGACCTCGCTTCAGGGGCTCATTCGTCCTACAACTGATGTCCTGACTTGGCTGTGATGGCCAGGAAGGGCCGCAGAGCACAGGTGCGCGTCCGGGCCCCAGGGCCCCACTCCCCCTGCGTGGTCGGGGTAACGGGAGGCAGCCACGCTGCGCCAGAGCCCACGGGGGGGGGTTGTGGCCTGTGTGTGCACGTCGAGGGCCCGTGAGAGGCACTTGCCTATGACCCGGGCCTCCTCGTAGGGGTCCACGATGACTGGGTCTGGGTTAAGGAGCAATAGCCCACAGGCTTGGGTGTCCCGGGCGGTGGGGCCGATAAAGGATACACTTGAAGTTGTCGGGGTCGACCACGATGCAGTCGGGGGGGATGAGCCGGGGCGCAGCGTCCTGCTCCACAGACAAGGGTCTTTAGGGGCCCCGTGGCCCGCAGGCGGACCCCGGGGCTCCCCGGGCCCTCTGCCTGTGGCCGGCGAGGCCTCCTCTGCCCACCTTGTGTCCCTCCTTAGCTGGATTTCTCTTCCTGAACTGTCTGCCTTTGCTCTCCTTCTTCACAGTCCCGTCGGCTGCGGACAAGAAAAGAAGGTGGTTTGGAGCCAGTAGAGGTGGAGGCATGAGGCAGTATGAACGCACTAAATGTCCCTGAACTGTTCACTTTAAGGGGGTTAATTTTACATTCCGTAAATTTCATCTCAATAAAAAAAAACCCAAGAAGTAGTGACAACGATTGATTTTAATTTTTCTGAAGTTGTGAAAGCAGCGACTTCTCCCATGTAAAGGCTCGCGGGACTGGCAAAGGCCCGAGCCAGGAGACCTCGAGAAAGGAACAGTCCCCAGAGAACCCCCAGGCCCACCTGGCTGGCCATTCACACACCACGCGGGGCACCCACCAGTATGCCTGCTGCAGCGGCCCTGTCGCGGGGCCGGACCCTGCTGGCTCCCTGCCTCCTGCGCGAGCATTTACACCTCACTGCTCTGCTGGCTTGTAGATTCTTTCGCAAGTTCTGGAAATAGTGACAGGTGACTTCCTCTCTGTAGGCCCTCATGTCTCTTATTCCTGTGGGTACACTCACATGCCAGGAGGGAACGGGCGGAAGAGCAAGGCTCTGGCCGCGTCCTGTGTGCTGTGCCATCAAGAAGGAGGCTTGCTGGGGACCCAGATGGACCCTCCGCCAGGGCGAGCGGTGTTCATTCCCAGCCGGTTTGCTAAGAATTTCTATTACGAATGCATTCATTTTAAGAAATGCTGTTTCTCTGCAGTGACTAAGATGCTTATTAAGTTCGTTTTCCCTTGGTCTAACTTAATGATGCTTATAACTTTCAAGGTCAGAATGGGTGATGAAAGTCATATTTTTCTCTCTTGTGCCGTTCTTGGCAGTTTGGGGGTGTGGGGCCAACAGAGGCTGGAGGGGTGGCCCTTCTTCCCTATTCTCAAGGAGATTTGTTAAGACTGACATCAGCTGTTTCTGGAAAGTCTACCCGGTCGGTTTCAACAGCAGATGTAAGTCTCCCCTCTTTGTTGGTTACGAGAGCACGCGGAGTTTTCCTTCTTGAGTCCACGAGCTGTGTTTCCCAGGACTCAGCCTGCTTCGGCTACGCGCTTGAACATACTTGGTAAGGTCACTCGTAGCGTCGTCTTACCATCTTTCGGATCTCTGATGCATCTGTAGGGTCGGAGTCTCTTTTCACTCCTCACGTTGTGCATTTGTGCCCCATCCACATTTTTCTTGACCGTTCTCACTGGAATGTGTCTATTTTACGAGTTTTTAAAAACTTTTGTTTCCTTGTTGGTGTCTGCTCATGTGCTTGCGGCCCCCTCTCCTCTGCCTTGAGGTTTTTGTGTTCTTGCTCCAACTCCCATAAATCCCATGCTCAACTTCTACGCTTCCAGAGACTAGCGGTCTGGGACCTTCCTGTGATCACTTCTCCTGAGTCCCACGAGATATGCAGGGGTGCGGTTTTAAATTTCCAAATGGGGATTCAAGAAAGCCACCTTTTGGTAGTGGTTTCCGTGATGGTTCCGGGTGTTGCTCCACATGTTTTGAGGCTGTCAACCGTTACCGCTGTGTGACAACCCCACCCCGGAGTGCCTCTGGCTGTGGAGTCTGTTCCACGTGGCAGTGGGCAGCTGTCCCTTCCGGTCACCCTGACGATCTCTTTCTGACGCGGGGTGTCCTTTGGTTTAGCCACGTCTCTCGTACACACGGCACCTGTGTGCGCAACGTCCTCTTGTCCACGCCGTCACTCAGTGGGCAGGTGTGTGGCCCGTTTGTGTATTTACTTATGATCTAGATGGATTAACTCCCGTCGCCCCACTGTTTGGTTTGTGTCTGTCCCACGATCTGTGTGCGCTTCCCCGTCACCGGCTCCCGCAGCCCCACGGCTGCGTCATTTCTCTCGTTTGTTTTCCCTCTTCACCAGCGTGGACTCTGTACAGCAATTCCCTTTTCTGTGGTTGTCCGTAGACGTGCACTGGGAGTACTCACCACACAGAGAACCTGCCTCCAGCCTGGGCCGTTGGACGCTTCTGCTTGTCACCCCTCGGCCATGCGTTAGGAAGGCTCACCTCCCATTTAGCCAGTGTTTCTGTCACTCCACGGTGAGAACCGTTGCTGCTGTAACAAGTGACCACAAGTGGAGGGACTTAAAGCAACACACACGTGGTTCTCACACTTGTGCAGAGGAGTCCTTTTGGCGGACGGTTTGCCCAGGACTGCTTCCTCCTGGGGCTGCGCACAACGGGCTCCACCTTTTCCAGCCTGGGCTCGGGCGCCGCCCCGTCCTTAGAGGCAGCAGCACCGCCTCCTCCCATCTGTCTGTGACCTCCTGCCTCCTCCATCTTACAAGGGGCTGCTCTGCCTTGGACGCCGTTAAAATGCCGCCGGGGGCTCATCAGTCTGACCGCCTTCCCTGGAGTCTCCGCTCCGCTTCTCATGTCGGGGGCTTCTGGAAACTTCTGGACACACGGCGTTACAGTCTTTGTCCAATTCTGGGGGGACACTGGCGGTCCCTGATCCCAGGACTCCCCTCCCAGGGCTCGGGCCGTGGCGCATTGGGCCCCGCGTCCCCCGTGGCTCCCTCTCGGGGCTCAGGCTCCGTGCCCGCTCTCTGGCGTCGCAGAGCCGCTGTTCCCTCTACGTCGCCTTTTCCCTGCTTTCAGTTGGAAGGGCAGATGCGGCCCTTGTCGCTCCATCCGGGATGCAGGTGAAGGTGCAAACTATTTGTTCTTAGCTTCCCTTCCTACTCACTGAAGTGCAGCGTGTCTGCCGGGGACGGCACGGAGGGAGGGCCTTCCCATACCCGGCGCACCTGCGTGAAAGGCGCCCGCGGACAGGCCACGGCCAGCCGGAGTCCGCAGCTGCCCCCAGGCCCGCGTCCCGGCCCCCGAACCTCCGGGCATCACCTTTCGCCACCTAGTCCGTGACTAGCTCGTCACCGGCTGCTTGCTGCCATCCCTGCCTTTCAAACCCAAGCGTGAGAGGCCACGGCCGACGCTCAATGCCCCCTTCGGCGCGACTCACGGATGCCTGGCACACACCAGGGGTTCTGCGACACCTCGAACCTGTGCGTGCCTAGACAAGCGCTGCCACGGCCGATGATGACCGTCTGCCAGGAGTCCACGTGACGGTAACTTAGTCCCATTTTGAAATCAACTGTGGCCCAGGACACCTCTCACCTGTCTCCTCTCGACGGAGGCGGCTCCACAGCATCTGCAGGGAAAACTCTCGGGCCACGGAGTCCACCCCGTCCTCAAACACGGAGAGACCTTCCAGCGGCAGCTCCAGAAGATGCCTGTCCGCAATGAGGATGGTGTCGTTCGCAGCCTCGGGCTCAACTGTGGACAGGGCAGCACCAGCTATGGAGGCCGCAGGAGACGAGCTCCCGAGGACGCGCAAACCCCTGGGCGGGCCTGCCCGTCACCGCTGATGCCGATCGGCTGGAGACACAGGAAGAAGTCTGAGCTCGGCTCAGCCTGTGACGGGAGGGGAGGGGGGCGGCAGGACGCACGGGGGCGTCTGGGGGAAGGACGCTGGTTTTCACGGCACAGCTGGGTCACGACTCCGAGCCGGACGCAGCCTAGGTCTCAGGATGGCCGGGCCTCTGCAGGTCTGAGGGCCTGCCTCCCGGAGCAGATCCTGGAATCCACGACTCCTAACCAGGGAGCCACCTCTCAGAGGATGAAGCCTTGCACCTGGGATGTGGCGGCTTCTCCACGTGACCACGGAACCCTTGGAGGATCACGTGGGCCCTGCTTGGCCAGTTAGAGAGACCCTGCCCTTTCCGACAGGCGTAAATGGTAGTGAGGGTGAGGCCACTAGACCCCTCGGTCGAATTTACCGTACGCACGCAGGGAAACAAATTACTGCGGTGAGCGAGGGCTGCGTCTGGGGATCTCAAGTCCGAATCCCAGCGGACAAAGGTGACCGCGGGTGGGCCGACTCCGGCCCCTCAGCTGGAGCAGGAAGCACCACCACCTGCCCCGCAGCCGCACGCACCCCCCGCCCTCATCTGTCGTCTGGCTGCGGAGCCGCTGGTGCTGCGACACGCGAGCCGCGAGTGCGTGCAGGTGGGTGTGCGCGGTGGCAGCGCCGCGTGGGGAGGGGGCACCAGCGGGGCTTCCGGGTCAGAGCACCTGCCGGGTCAGAGCACCCAAGGCGGGCGCACTCCCTTCCCTCCCGCTCGATGACCCCGCGTGGGCCCCAGAAAAGGAGACAGACGAAAATGCCTTCGAACAAGAGCGAGGGACACGATCGCGGGTGCCGGGTGGGAGATGGGCGCCTCGTGGTCACACCCGCTCCGGCCGCGGGGCTGGGAGGACGGCGCGAGCGCATTTCCCACATTTTCAGGCCCATCGAGTGGGAAACCGGAGGGGCTGTCCTGACCGCGTGGAGACGACCGGGAAGCCTCCGGAGCTCAGGCGCCGGGCGCCCCCTCCCCAGGGGCGGCCAGACCAGCACGCGTCGCCCTTCACTCGGGAGCCAGCAGGTCCCTGTGCAGAAGCTGGTCCCGCCCTCGTGTCATCTGGGGCGCACACTCCCGAGGGTGACGGGAGTATGCCACCACGCGGGCCACCAGCTCCCCCAGGAGGGGCGGGTCTGCGGGTGCAGGAAGCCCCCGCTCCGGGCTCTGGTATGTGGAGCGCACAGACCCCTGAGGGGACTCTCTCACACCCCGTGGGCGCTCAGCGCCCTGGGAGACCCTCAGGGGACGCCTATTTCTGACCCACCTGGGCTCCCCCGACCCAGCCTCCCCTCCGGCACGCTCTCACTCACCCCGGGGCAGGGACACTTTCCTTTCCTTGTCTTTGCCCTTTGGTCTCCCTGAATCCGCGACAACGGTGGGCACCTGTGTTCTGGAGGCCAAAGGCACGTCCTCAGGTTTTGAAAAACACATGGAAATCACACATACTAAGGACATAAAGAACATCTCCCTGGACCGTTTCACATCAGGGCAGGGAGTGTCACTTTTGGGGGCCGGTCTCACTGAGATGGGGGCAGGGATAACTGGGCACAGACAGAAACAAAGGCCGCCCAAGGCCTCTGCCTTCCCTACCAAGAATAAGTCAAAGGGGTTCAGGACCCCGGGCCATGTGTCCCACTCCCACCCTGTACGGGCACCAGGCACTGCAAGGGCATGGGGCGGAGGGGACCTGAGTGGTGGGGATGTTCCCCCAGAAAAGATTTTCAGCAGAGTCGGGACTTTTTCCCTATGACAGAGGCCCCGAGTCAGGCATTCTGGATTTGAGGGGCCCTTTGGCCTTTCCCGTCTGTATTCAGCATGGTCTGATTTAGGGCAGAGCAAAGCTCATCAACTTCACAGCAGAGACCCGAACCTCCACGTGGGAATGACGCCCACCCAGCCCACCGCCGGCCACTCAGCTCATGCTGGGCTTTGGGGAGGCTGGGGTCAGAGCTGGCTTGCAGGCTGAGCCCCCCCCCC